AGCAACATCTGGGTAAATTGTATGGTCAAGGCAGGCACAGTATGTACCCCTTCCATGGATACCCACAAGACTCAAGATTGGGACGATAACACCAGGCTCTTCACTTGGCTTCACTGGTCAGAGCCAGGGACTGCCCCGGTGTGCCTCCCAGCTGTATAACAATGAATCTCCTTATAAAGTTTAAAGTTTATTTTCAACTACTTATTATATTAAAATCCTAAAATGAAAAAAAATATTTGTATGCAACACATGCACATGTGCACACACACATACACACACATGAGATACATACGAAAAAAGTTCTCAATCTGTAGCCCGGCTGGCCTCAATTACACTCACTGCAATCCTCCTGCCTCCTGGGTCTTCGGTTTATAGTCATGAACCACCATGTATAGCTCATCGATTAAAATAATGTTTAAAAGGCTGGAGACAGGGGGTGGGGGTGGCTCAGCTGATAAAGTGACCTGAATTCTGTCCTTGGCACCTACATCAAAAGCCACGTGTCACACCACACCAGTAATCCCAGCACTTGGGAGGCAAAGAAAGGAGTGCCTTGAGGGATCACTGGCCAGTTAGCCTAAACCCAAAGTATGAGCTCAAAGTTCAGTAAGAAACATGGTCTCAAAAAGGAAGAGGGCAGGAGAAGAAACCTGACATTCATCTCTGGCACATGTGCAGACACGCACAAACATACAAATAGTAAGCAAACAAATACAAAAATGCCTGAGAGAATTCCACTGGGAGGCTCAGGAAATGACTCAGTGAGTAAAGACAGCGTGCTGCACAAGCATGAGAGCCTAAGTTCAAGTCCCCAGTACCCATAAAAAAAACCCAAAACTGTCCACTCATCTACCTGTAACTCCAGCTTGGGGGAGATGGTCAAGAAGGGGATCACCTGGACTTCCTGGTTGCCAGGCAGACATGTCCCATGGATGTAAGGAACAGAGTAGAGAGCTTGACATGCTCTCCTAGCCTCCAAACGTGTTTGTCATAATACATGTGCACACGCACTACACACAAAAGAGAATACCACTGCCCAGCTCTCGTCGGTGTTCCTTCTCCAGAACACTTAAGAAATACACTCAAAACTAACATCAAACTACATTACGTGAAAGTAATGCCCAAGCCCTGTTAATTCTTCCTTTATCTACAGTGCCTCCTCTTTCTCATCTCTGCCACTCTTGACCTTTTCTCCCTGTGTCAGCATATCTTACCAAGATCTTGTAACAGTCCTACAGGGACTTCCTAAAACACATGCTAGATGTCCACACTTCTCAAAAACTTCAATGGTCCCCCCACTAAACCCAAAAGAGAAAGTCCAAGTTCCTGACAAGGTGGTCATGACTCCATCCGGCACCCTTCTTTCCTTCTCAGCTGACCCTCTGCAGCATTCTCTTTTTCCTAAATGCCTTTTATCTTGACTGTCCAAGAACAATTTCTCTGTTACTAACATTTTGCCCAGTTGGAAACAAGCCCTCCTTTAATTCAATCTTTTTGCCAAAGCCTCCCCAAGGACTCTAATTACAGGTGTGTGCCACCACAACTAACACCTACTACATAATCTTTTTTGTTTGTTTTTTGGTTTTTGGAGACAGGGTTTCTCTATGTAGCCTTGGCTCTCCTGGACTCAATTTGTAGACCAGGCTAGCCTTGAACTCACAGTGATCTGCTTGCCTCTGCCTCCCTGAGTGCTGGGATTAAAGGGCCACCATGCCCAACTTCAATACATAATCTTAGCTTTACTCAGAAGTGAAATTTATTTTGGCCACAACTGAAGTAAACTGTATGCCCAGGTATGATGGTGTATGCCTTGAAAGACAGGCAGGAGGATCTCTGTGAGATCCAGGCCAGCCTGGTTTACTTGGGAAAGTTCCAGAACAGCCAGGGCTAGATAATGAGATCTTGTTCAAAAAATAAATAAGTAAAATACAGTCAACAAGATTACATCTCAAACAACATATGGAAAATGTACTGCATATAACATCAATATAAACAATAGACACTAATGGCTATTTTGTATCATACTTCAGGGGCAAGCCTTTATATTGAGTACAAAGTGAAGAAATCATTTTACACATTTTACCAAGGCCTATAATTAGTAAAAACCCAACTAACTAGTAAATGATGTTATCTTGAAGTCAGCCTAAATCCACATCCAAGGCAAATTTCATCGCAAAACTACAGTGTCAAAATTTACCAACCATAGACCAGATAACCATAACATCTCAACTGGAGGTGATCTGGACTACCAATGGACATATCAATGGACTACCAAAGTCCACAGATATTTTGGTTGAAGTAAATGGGCAGTTATGGTGGTGGGTACTGTTGACATCTAAAGATCACACAATACACAGGACAGCCGCTAAAACAGTAGTATGACTAAAAATATGTTAATCGTACTGGGGCTGAGAAATCCTATGTGAGAGGTGTCTCTAGTACTGGGCCAGAAAAATGAAGACCAACAAACACTTCTGCCTTTAACCTTTTAGCTGCCTGTCTATCTTGTCTAAATGAATCCTCTGTCATCTTAAGGAAAACCTTCAGCTCTCTTTTCCTGCCCTCTCTGAACTCTCTGGCCCCAGAAAAATGTTCATGCTGCATAAGGAGATAGGAAGCACAACTGCTGAGTGAGAAGGCCAAGAAGTATAAGCATGCATCCCCTCCAATGCAGTAGGTTCTGTTTTTTCATCCAAAGAAAACTGAGTTTGCCAGCTACTACTGCAACTACTCACTACCATCTCTAAAGGCCTGCTTAGCAGTGACTCCCAAAAGCATCATCTCCAAGATAGAGGCAATGCAGAGATGGAGGTTGTCTTTAGATTTAATAAGAAAAAACAATTGCTTGCCTCAACATCTTTTATCATTAGTAATCATATCGTTTACATTTTTATTTTTTAAAAATCCATACAATATACTTCTTATCATAGACTTTCTCCTCCCCATCACTTAGATTTCTAATGGACGTTCAGGGCTGTGAACTTTAATGTCTGTTCTTAGCTGAACTTCATAATCATACAGTAAAGTGCAGAGAGCACATATCTAGACTCTGGACCACCAATCGCCCTCCTTGTTACCCAAAAAACAGATGGTTTGCTGTGAGTAAAAAGCCAAATACAAAATGAAAAGGCCACGTGGATTTTTTTAAAAGGAAAAAATGCACTTACTCCTTTCTTTAAAAAAAAAAAAAAAAAAAAAAAAAACTATAGCTCCCTCTAGATACATTACAAAGTAGGAACAAGACAGTATCAGGGAGATCCTTTCCCTTTCAGCAAAGGGTAGCCGCTGCCTAGTATGTCCTTCGGATGCTTCCAAACACTCAAGTACTAACAGCTGGGGGGAAAGGCTCTTTCTCAATCGCTCAGCAAGAGCAAACCAATTCCTGGAGTAGTGAGTGGATGCCACCGACTGCTTTATACCAGCCATCTCGACCAGGGTGTATGAATCTGTTTTTTTAAGTTACTACCACATATCCAAAGTCGATCATCTCCTAGAACACACCTGTGCACCACTGGTTCCGATCTTAGTCACCCTGAAGCCCCGACCTTGCATTAAACGTGGTCCCTTCGAGGTCCTCCATAGGACCTGAGCCCGGGCCCTTCCCATTCCAGGACTGCAATAGCCCGAGTGGGGGCACTGTCACAAGCTCCAGGCCTGAGAAACGGCAGTACAATCGGTCTCTCAGGCAGATTCTAGATCTTCACCGAGCCACTGAAAGGCCACAAGAGGGATGTCGCCCCAGTTTCATACTCGCAAGAACCATCTGAGCACATACTGAACGGTGAAGCCGGATAGCAGCACCAGGCCGGTGCCCCGGCAGGCTCACAGCAGACAGGCGCCAAGCACCCAGACTAGGGGTGGGCGGCACAGGGCTATGGCCTGGGGCGCAGGCGGACTTCGCTGCAACCAGCCTGAAGCACGTGCCCGGGCTCGCCGGTGTCCCGAAGCCGAAGACAAAGTCGGCTCCTGCCCGCTCTGCAGCTCCAGAGCCCGGCACCGGCGTCTGGACAAGGCGGGCAAGACTTGAGCACCGCCGCAAGCCAACTCCAGACCCCACCCAGATGCGGGCTCCGCCGCCCACGACTCCTGCGTGCACTCACCATTGTGGTTGACCCAGGTTGGCTTCAAGAGCTTCATTGTTCGGCCGCTGCCGGGCTGAAGCCAGAGCCGTGTCCCTCAGCGCGCCTGGGCCATGGAGCCGCTGCTGCTTCCTCCCGCGCCTCTCGCCCTCCGGCCGCCGCCCACCCTTGCCCTCAGCGCCGCCGCGCCATCGCCAGCCCGCGCCCCCAGCCGCCGCCACAGCCGCCTCCTGCGCTCGGCCGCCGCCGCCGCCGCCACAGCCGCATCCCCTGCGCCGCTCCTCCTCCGGCGGCTCCGGGGCAACGCCGGAAGTCACGGCGCGCACCTGCCAAATCGCCCCGGCGGGAAACCGCTCCCTACGCGGACGGGGCCGCCTCGGGTCTTTCGCAGGCAGGGAGAACGCAAGGCTTACTCCGCTTTGTGTCTGGCATGGGCACGGTCGCTGGCGAGGCTCGTTGTGTGCAGGCTGGCAGAGCCTCCAGATCCCGCCCAGCGATGCAGAGTCAGGGTGGTGTCCAGGTCTCTAGCTCTGCCTCCGCGGCTCCGAGCTCCAGCTTAGTAACTTTCTTCCGTCTCCCATCAACACGAGCTATTGGGCATCTCGGGAGCGCCAGCCGGGCCGGGGCCAGCCTGCGTCTAGCTGCAGACGGCAGCGGCCCTGGGCTCGATTGGATGCAGAAAAGAGCTAGCCTGGTGGAGAGGGACAGGGGGCCAGACAGGCGCGTTTATTGGAAGAGCGGGGTGTTTGCATAGGCATGAACACATAAGCCAAGCGGAGCAAAGAGCAGCCACCATGGCACAGGCGACACTTAAGAACGGACCGCAGCACCAATAGAAGGCGGAACGCCTGCTGCAGGGTGCAGCGAGGCGAGCCGCGCTTGCCCGGGGCGGGGCTGCGTCGGGGGCGGGGCCAGAGGCGGGCCCGCCTCTCCGAATCCCGGACCGGGGAGTTCCGGGCGGCGGCCTGCTGTACCCTACCCGGTACCGCGCGCCGGACCGCTGAGGGGCGCGCTCCCGGAAGCTGCCCGCCTGCAGGTGGCGTGAAAAGGTATGGCTGCCGCTGTGCTGCTGTGTTCTGCGCGGGCTCTGCGGAATCGGAGTTGGTGAGTGCAGCCGCGGGTGGTGGAGTGCCCAGCGCGCGTGCGCGGGCTCTGCACTGGCGCTGCTCTGGTGCTCTAAGATTATTGATCGTCTGTTTCGGATGAAGATCCGGGCTGGAAATGTACTCAGCTGACAAACTACTTGCCTAACGAGTGTGAGGCTAAAGGCTCTAGCCTAGCAACACAGAAAATTGGACGTGGTGGCACACGCCTGCAGCCCCAACACCAGGGAGATAGAGACTAGATCAGAAATTCAAGGTCATCAGCAGCTGCATACCACGTGTAAAACTCGGCCTGTATTACACCCTATCTTTAAATAAAAAATCCTTCTGGAGCAAGTAGAGGCTCTGCCCAAGCTGGAAACGGAGTTGAAAAATCGTCATTTTGATCTTGCTGGCCTAATAGAAGTGAACGAGGAGTTGTGGCTCAGCCCAGGCAAGAGAATTGCCTCAAGTTTCAGGATAGAATAAACTACTGAGACTTTTTTTCTGAAAAATACTTACAGACGTCCTCCAGGTTTGGGGGAGCCCTGTAGTTATGTGTATGTGCCTTCTTTTTCCCCAATCAGATCTTTATACCTACCCTCTCTCCTTCAGGATACCTGGAACCTGCCAGACACAGATCAGACACACCCACCAGAGAGCTTCATTGCTGTCCTTCTGGGAGCTCATCCCCATGAGGTAAAATTGAACATGACCCCAAGTTCGAAGGGTGTGAGGAACACATTATGCATATAACCAAAACAAAGCAAGACTGCCCAACTTTTGATTAGCAGATTTCACAGTCTGTCAGCTAGTTAAACTTAGGTAGCTGCTGCTGTCCTTTCAACAAGCTCTGTACTGTGATAGCGTACTCATGGTAAAGTAGTTTAAATAAGTAGCAGTTAGCTTTGAAGAGTCTGGTGTGTTTTAAAGGACACATCTTAACTACTATATTTCCATAGGCCTTGCTCTTCCCTGCTCGTTGTTCTGATTCACTAAGTGGGAGGAAGTTTCAAAGATTAAAAATAGTTCCTAGAAACGTTGGATACTTTCTTGGGACTTGATTTAGTTGATTTTAATGCTAAAGGGTTTGCTTTATTCTTTAAGATTTTATATGTGTGTGTGTATGCCTGTCATATGTATACATACATGTTCTCAGGTGCCCTCAGAGGCCAAGACGGGCTACAGATGCCCTAGAGTTACAGGCATTTGTGAGCCCGTGATGTGAGTGCTGGGAACCAAGCTCCAGTCTTCAAGAGGAGAAAGCACTCTTAACTGCTGAGCTATCTCTCCAGCCCCAGATTTGCTTATTCCTAATGGTGAAATTATTCCTGAGAGGTGTGTTCCTAAAAGTAAAACAGATAATTGCCAAAGCATTACGACAAATTTTTTTTTTAACGTGTTGTGTCTGCATGTATGAGTGTGAATTGCATGCTTATGGCCTCAAAGGCCAGAAGACGGTGCCAGATCCCTCCGAACTAGAATTAATGATGGTTAAAAGCCACCATGTGAGTACTGGAAACGAAACCCAGGTCCTCTGCAAGAGCCACAAGTGTTCTTAACCATCTCAACACCCCAAAAACTGTTAACAAATTCTAAGAAATAAATAAAGACATGTCCAGTCACTTTCACCATCCTGTCTCTTTCAGTCTTAAAGCGTTTTGTAAATCACAAATTCATTAAAAATGTGAATGAGCTTTTATTTAAGTAAGTTCACTTCTCGGGGCAGTCTCAATGAATCACAAACTGACACTCCCAAGCCAAGAATGTAGTTAGGTTTATTGAGTCCTTGCCTAGCACGTACAAAGCCTTTCTTAAATTTAATCCCTAGCACCATAATACCAGGAATGGTTTAAAAAAAAATTACTACACTAGCAGTCAGGAGGTAGAAGCAGTGGGATCAGAGTTCAAGAACATCCTTGACTGCATAGCTAGTTCAAGGCACGCCAGGGCTATGTGAGAATCTGTCCTAAAAAAAAATAAATTAGGCATTGGTGGCACACCCTTTTAATCTTAGCACTTGGGAGGCAGAGACAGGCCTGGGTTCAAGGCCAGCCTGGTCTACACAGTAAGTTCTAGGACAGCCAAGGCTACCCAGAGAAACCCTGTCTCAAAAAAAAAAAAAAAAAAAAAAGACAAAATTAACACTTCCTCTTGGTAAATCCCTGTATTTCTGTGCTGCTTCCTGGAGTTCATAGGACCCATACAGTCCTCATGAACACAATGGACTAAACTAATGGAGTCAGGACTGTGAACAACTCTCTCTTGTAGCATATGATACAAGTGTGAAGCACTTCATTGAGCATCATATCTGAGATTAAAGTAGAATCATTGAATGTTTCTATCCACTAGAGCAGAACCTCAACGAAAGAAGAAGAAGTTAGACCCTAGAAAGGAACAAGCAGTAAAGGATCGATTGAGAAGGAGGATCCGAAAACTGGAAAAAGCCACCCAAGAACTAGTTCCTATTGAAGATTTTATTACCCCCTTGAGGTTCTTGGATAAATCAAGGTAAGGGTTCTCCTCTGGGAGATAATCCTTAATGCAAAAAAAAAATCACTCAGGTAGTTCTAACTAATGTTCATGTCTGTGATGGAAATAGGTGAGTAGGGTTGACTTGGCCCTGGTCTGAGTTCTTTTCATTTTGAGTGTGCTTTTGGAAATTTGGAAAAAAACAGCTCAGCTTCCTCCGAGGTTCATGTTCGTTTCCATGAATGTTGGCCATGAGGACATAGGCCTTGGCTTTGTAGCCTTCCCCCCATTACCATAGTGGAAAATTCTCAGCCTCTTCTACAGATCTTCAGTTACTGTGTGTTGCAGCTGTATAGTATGTAAGATGAGCAGCTTGTGGTTTCTTGAAAAAGCACACAGTTTATAAAGCCCTGCAAGTTAGGAAGCGTAGGTGTTTTTGTTGTGTTCTAGGACTAAATAAGCTCTTGTCTCTAGGATTTTGTCATTTGTTTCACTTTTCTTCTGTACACCCTCTTACCAAAATGAGGGTTTTGGGGGCAGAAACAATATAGTTCTCCCTAAGCATGCTCCTTCTGCTGGGGAACAGCAACTGCTGCCATGTTCTACGCTGTATTTTTTTTATGTGTAATTGTGTGTGTTGCAATATGTTCATGTGACTGCAGGTGCCCTGGAGGCCAGAAGAGAGCAGCATATCCTATAGAGCTGGAGTTACAAGCAGTTGTAAGCCACTTAATTTCGGTGCTGCAAAAAGAATTCTAAGAATTCTAAGAACAGTAAATAGTCTTAACCTCTGAGTCTTCTCTCCATCACTAACATTACATTCTTAATATACCCCCAAATTTACTATTTTCCTGAGCCCTGGTTATACCTGGCAGTGCCTCCCAGTAGGGCCCTTAAGTCATGTGCTGTCTCTGCAGCAGGGTCAGTAATCTGCAGCCTCACACATTTGGACTTGTGTGTTCACAGACAGCGACCTCAGGAGGAGCATTCTCCTGAGGAGAGTGAGCGGAGAGCTCTTCTGCTGAAGAGGTGGGCACTATATAAGCAGCAGGAGCATGAACTGGAGAAGGACACCATCAAAGCCATGCTGGAAGCCCAGCAGGAAGCCCTGGAGGAGCTGAAGCTTGAGTCTGCAGAGCTCTATGCTGAAGCCATAAAGCGTGACCCCAGCCTGTTCCCCTTTGAGAAAGAAGGGCCACATTACACGCCACCTATCTCTAACTACCAGGCCCCTGAAGGCAAGTACAATGACATCACCAAGGTGTACACACAAATAGAATTCAAAAAATATAACTGAACACCGCTGTCCTCAGAACATGCTGGCTCCAGGAATCAGGATGAGCAAGCTGAATTCTACTTTCCCCAGATGAGACATCTTGGTAACAAATAAAGTATAATCAGAAGCATCTCTGTCGTTTATTTCAATCAAAAGAAATTCACCTCAGTTTGGCTGTCCTTTTCAGATGCTGGTAAAACAATGACAAAAAGAGAACATTGGCCCTCCGGTGGGGAAAATATCACTTTAAAATGAAGATTTTAGTTGTGTTCTGAACTATTTGCAGAAAGCACAAGATAACCCAAAGAACTGAAGGTGAAAATTACACAGGATTTTGCCAGTTGGGCAAGTATGGCAGAAGAAACTGGACCTTTGCTGGGGTCAGCTGCAAAATTCCCTTTTGAGTTTCAAGGTAAGGAGTAGAACAATTGGCGGAAGCTGCTCTGGCCTCCAGGAAAGAGTAGGACCTGTTCCAGACTATTGCATTCAGTACGGTTAATTGGAGATGATTTATGTAATTCCAGCACTTGGAAGACTGAAGCAGAAAGAGCTCCAGAGGTTTAAAGCTAGCCTAAGGTACAGTTTGAGACCCTGTCTGCAAAACAAAAAACAAAACTCTGAGGTAGTAAATGTAGTTTTCTGTTCCAGCTGCCATAACAAAATACCATAGCGTAGGCAGCTTACTCAACAAAACATTTTCTAGAACGTGCCTCAGAAGTGGATCACTGTTGCTCCCTGCCTGGCCTAATTTCTCTAAGCATATTGCCTCTTAATGTTTAGAAGTTTAGAAGACTGCCCCCAAAGTGGGTTCAAATGATCCTTCAGCCTCAGCCTCCCAAGTAACTGGCTACTGGTGTGTGCCAACATGTCCATACTGCTAGATATTTCTTTCCCCTTCTCTGGGGTGGCTCGGGGTTGAGACAAGGTCCCACTGTTGTAACCTAGATTGGCCTTGATCCCTCACTTGTTCTGTTTTTCTCTAGGGTGAAATAGTTGTATGAATAAACCATATTTTCTTTTTTTACTCATCCTGTTACATCCACGGTTTAGCTGTCAGGAACAAAGCTGCACAGATCCCTTCAAGACCCTGCTTTAATTCTTTTTTGAGGAAAAAGTGATAGAGATGAAAACAATGGCTTTGAGCATGGTAAGAAAGTTCTACCACATAGCTATGCCCCAGCCTTCTGCTTTAACTCTCCATATCCTTACCTATACTTATTTGTGGAGTGTTGGCTAATAGCTTTCTTCTTTGGTGCGAGGTGGTCTTGTGGTTTTGGTCTGTATTTTCTAATAGCTACCGATGTGAGTTGCAAATGTTTTCTTCCATTCTATGGGTTGCCTTTTACTATCAGTAGCCTTTTTTAAAGTGTATATGGTGTTTTCCCTTCATGTATGTCTGGTCAGTACATTGCTGTCTAGTGCCTACATCCATAACTCCCCTGCAACTGGAATTATGGAGAGCTGTGAGTCACTATGTGGGTGCTTGGAGTGGAACCTAAGTCATCTACAAAGGCAACAAGGGATCTTAACCACTGATCTATCTCTCCAGACCCTACTATTCATACTCTTTTGATACATGAAAATTTACATGAAGTCCAATTTATCTTTTCTTTCAATGTCAGTAACTAAGGTTAGGTTTGGGGTTTTCTTTTTTTTATTTTTATTATTGGTTACATTTTATTAACTCTGTATCCCAGGTGTATCTCGCTCCCTCATTCCCTCCCAATCCCACCCTTCCTCCCTACCTCATCTCCCTGCCCCTTTCCAAGTCCACTGCTTGGGGAGGACCTCCTCCCCTTTCATCTGACCCTGTTTTATCAGGTATCTTCAGAACTGGCTGCAATTGGGTTTTCTTTTGGTTTAATTTGTTTTGGGGTTGGATTTATTATAGTCCAAGTTGGACTAGATCTCCTTACATAACCAAGGCCAGCCTCAAACTCATCAATTCTCCTGCCTCCCTGGGGGCTGGAATTACAGGTATGAGCCACTGTGCTTATCTATTTATTACACAGTAAATAAATCATAGCTGGCCTAGGAAAATGGCTCAGCAGAAAAAGCACATGCCACCCAAGAGTGAGGGCTGGAGTTTAGGTCCCCAGAGCACAAGTGAAAACAGATGGCTGTAATCCCAACAAACAGGAATTAGAGACAGGCAATTCCCAGAGCAAGCTGGCCAGCCACACTAGCCAAAACAGCAAGCAGCAGGTTCAGTAGGGGACCTGGCCTCATACATAAGGTGGAAAGAGATTAAGGAAGATGTCTACTTTCAACCTTGACACACATGTGCACACACGTGTACACACAGAAGTCCAGCTTCGCCAGGCCATGTACACTGAGGAGGGGTGTGAAGTTGGCTATTCATCACTCAGCAGACTTTTCTCTAAGGGAGCAAAATTTAATCTCCTGGAACCAGTGAAAAACTCTGGGTCCGGCACAAAAAGGGGGATACATACACTATACATTGCACATTATACATTTCACACATATTTGGAGGATGAAACAAGGCTCCAACAAGCGCCAACTATTTTACATATATACACATAGCACATACACAGATTTGGTGAATAATGCAAAGCTACAACTTTTATTTTTTTTCCCCTTCAGCTTATATATTCTAGCAAATTCTCTAAAGCAGTATAAAAATTACATTATGGTTACATTCTATTTTTCAGCAAGTCAGTGGTTATAATGAGACATGACCAAACATTTTGCATATTACAGGTGGAAAAAAATTATTTCCAAAAAAACACATACATTCGTATCTAAGCGATGTGTTATAGATTAACAAAGGATAAACAAGCAAGATAGTTTTCTCAGCCAGTTTCCTTACTGGCAGATCTCAATTTTGAGGTGACAAAGAAAGGATCTTATTAGTTATCTAAAAGGGATCTTATAAAAAATCTTCAGAGAATCAGATCTAAATTTTTATATATAAAAAACAGTCATTTCTACTTTAAATCCTCAGAGTGCACGTCTGCTCATTAGCATTTTTTATTAAATCTTATCAGGAAGCAAGTATAAGAATTAATCAGCACCTTGATTACCAGCCCAGGTTTAGCAAGAGAATCATGGGGGCTGGATAGATGGTTCAGAGGTTAAGAGCACTGCTTGCTCTTCTAGAGGTCCTGAGTTCAATTCTAGTAACCACATGGTGGCTCACAACCATCTATAAAGAGATCTGGCATTCAGGGGTACATGCAGACAGAACATTATATACATAATAAAATAAATAAATCTTAAAAAATAAGAGTCATGTCAGCCAGTGCTAGTTGGGCTGCCATTGTTCTTGTTCCCTGACCTCAAAAAAATCTCTAACAACTACTAAGAGTATGTCTTTCTGAACTTTAGGTTGTTCCCCAAGATTTTCTAAATCAAAGCCACTAATAAAAACATTTTGTCCTAACTAACAGTCTACATCTCTAAATTCTTTCTAAGGGTGGTGGTTGAATCATTAATCTGTTCCAACAGCAATGTTTGGAAAAGATCAATCACTAATATTGTAAGTGCCAATGGCACTGCTCAGCGAGTAGCTGGAAACTCCCCTGGCGTTTTCATACAGCTCTTAGATTATGAGGGAAGTTGTGGCTGTGAGGGCAACAAGCAGAGCGAAACTTAAACAGCATGAAATCTTCAGGATACATAATCCTTGGGGCTTTGCCTCTCCAAGGCACATCATGGTTGTGTTAACCACTGGGCCACATCCCATGATTGAGCAAACAGCTGTTTGCCGTTTTTCTCCCAAGGCCCCCAACATGTGCACACATGTACATACAAACAAACAAAACTTTAATTTAAAATTTACAGGAATGATTGGCCCTGTGTACAGCTTCAGGTTTTACATTTAGTTCTTTGATCCACTTTGAGTTAATATCTTTCTTTTTCCAGTTTATAACTTTATATTGTTATAGCTAAAAAAAAGCTCCATTTTACACTAGGCATCCATTTTGGTGCCCGCCAACTAGTTCTCTCTGGCTCCAGTTCATGGAAGGTAAGTTCCCAGGAACCCTGACAAGGTAATCCCCACCCAAAAATGTACAGCCCTGACTATCTTACTTGTTATATGATGAACTGTTCTTTTTGCTTCTCTAACTTGCTTACACAGATACCCAAAAGTTGTTTTGTGTTGCCTTAACCACTTAACTTGGCAAAACAGAACAGTTTTTGCTTACTTGCTTGGATATTAAAAGTCTCACGTGGTTTTCCCCTTTAAAAGTCCTTCCCTAGACCCCCTCCTTCACAGCAATCTCAAATTCGGCTCAGATTGTTCATCCAGGTAGAAGCGAATCAGTAAGTCTTATAACTGGATTGAGTCTGTGGTCTTTTCCCAGCATCACAAACACAGTATGTGGTGTTCACAAAAGTTCACCTACATTTTTTTTAAACTTCTGTCTCCCCTTCCTCATTTTTCTCTGTGTGTGTGCATTTGTGTGAGTAGTGTTAGAAATATGTTTGGGGATACAAAGAAAAAGATGACCACTCCAGTTGAAATTTCTGCACAAAGCAAACTTTCCTCTTCATCAAGAAGATGCTGTGATGGCTATTCTTAGTTAGTTATCACCTTGACTATATCTGGAATTAACTAAAACTCACACAGCTGGGTACACCTGTGAGAAAATTTTCTTTCTTTCAAGATTTATTTATTACACATATAGTGTTCTGCCTGCATGTATGCCTGCATGCCAGAAGAGGGCACGAGATCTCATTATAGATGGTTATGAGTCACCATATGAACTCAGGACCTGTGCAAGAGCAACCAGAAGAAATTCTCTTAACCTCTGAGCCATCTCTCCATCCCAAGAGATTTTTCTTAATTAAATCATTTGAGGTGGGAAGATATATTTTCAATCTGGATATTTTAAAGTGGAAGATCCACCTTTATCTGGCAGTCTATATATAGAACATGGAAGAAGGAAGATCTTGCTCTTTGCCTATTTGCACTCTCTTATCTGGCAAAGTTCATTCTTCACTGACATTAGAGCCTGCTTTTTCAGGATTCTGGTGTATACTGAAGACCAGATGAGACATCCAGCCTCTTGAACTGAACAACTACTGGATTCTTGGCCTTTCCATTACTGACTGGACAGGCTTTGATGGACTAGCTGAACTATAACATGTATGCCACTCTAATAA